TTCCATCATATCAAGGGTACATGTTATCAACATGACATACTACAGATGCAACTAATCAAGATCACTTAGCTGAGGTAGTATTTGTCAATTTTCTCCTCTGTAAAGTCACTCCTCCCCCTCCATTTTATGTTGCAGTCCTTGGAAGGAAGTCCCAGTGTGTAGCCCACATTTAAGGAGTGGGGAGTTCAGCTCCACTCCCTTGAGATGGAGTGTTTATATAAATTATTTGTAATCTTCTGTACAAATTTGCTTTCCCACATTTAATTATTCAATATTTGTATTAGTATGATATTATTTAACCATTCAATATTTATATCAGTGTGATATTATCTATATCAGTATTTGATATTTATCTCTATCCATATTATATATATTTATTTTATACTTTGGATTATTATCTAATACTACATCATTTATTTTGTTGCTCAGATTGTTCCAGCTTTGGCCTTGGGGACTCTTTCAGTTGGCTCCTATGTGGATTTGACATACTCCCATCAGTATGTTTTTTGAGCACTTGCTTACTTTCTGGCACTGTAACATGCTTCAGGCTAATCTAGTGTTTCTTTTCTTTGAAGAGCACTGTTAGAAACCAAGATCTGAGTACCAGTGTGCACACTTGGGGTATTGTTGCTTCTAGGCTTTCTGAATGAACAGAACTTTCTGAACGGAACAGAACAGAACTATCATGATATTTCCACCTCTAATGCAGTGCCATAGGGATCATTCTAACCGCCCCATCCCCCCACTTACCAAAAAGCTCGCTTTCCAGCAGTGGCTCCTGACATAAATTATCCGTATACTTATTTATTCTGTCCCAGTGTACTTGGATAGCAGCTTCAGAATTGTTAACTCATACTCTCATGTAACGCCACACACCTTGATCTTTGTGTTCCTTTTCTCTTACTGTCTGTCAGGGATCATTCATCTTACCCCCACAAAGGGAAGATTTTGGTACAACCCAAAGTAAACTCTGATCAGCAAGAGAGTAAGGATCTCCATTAGTGAACTCAAGACAAGGATAGCCACTTGGCTTCTTTGGAAACCATTATCAAGTCTCATCTGCGATGGCTCAGAGCATGAGTTTATCCTAATTTTGTTGTCTACTTGGTTCTGGGTCCAGAAATTATGTATGCCACTGTATATGATAGTACATGTATGAAGGCATTCGATTGAGAGAGGCCTCATGTAAGGATAGGAAATAAAGCCAAATCTTCCCTGAATGCTGCTGTAAAGTTCTATGGCCTTTAAAGGGGAAAGTGGCAGACTTATACTGGAAAACATAAAAACTGTAAAATAAATAAATATTTTAAATATTTTAAAACAATCTCAAGTGTGAAAAAGAAACTTCTGATGAAGGGCAGGTTACTTTTCAAAACATGAAAATCAATCAAAATTAACCTTTAAAACAGGAAATTTAGACTTTCATCTGGGATTTACCTAGCAATTTGTTCTCATCTGGATGCAAATATAAGATTCAGGTGACTTGTTGTGAAAAAATTTTTTAGTAAGTTTCAAACAGATTTTAATAGTAAGTTGATTCAAAAGAAAATTATAGCAGTATCAATGGAACTGACAGTATCCTAGGTGTTTGGAGAAGAGAGTTTATATTCTGTTCATACAACTCAAAAGCAGGTGAAAATCCCTACGCATTCATGATTCAAGAGACATACAATGGCAGTATGGCCAACTGTGCCAACATATGGTTCCTAATTGCAAGCCTGGTTTGCTCTACTAACCCAGCAATTACAAAATTACAAATGAATTAAATTTTCTATCAGAAAAAAGATATGTATGTGTGTGCACTGCTCTGGTCATTGGCAGTAGCCCGGGACCCTTTCCAGAGCAGAGATAAAGACTAGAACTGTAGATGAATAATAAAGATAATGGCAGTTAATTCTTATGCAGCTATGAATTTAACACTAAGGTTTTAATTCTTCACTCACTCAGTCTCCTCATTTGTCACCTAGAGAATTACTTACTTTTTGCTTTGTTTATTTTTGTTTTGAGGAGAAAAAGTAGATTATTCTTCAGTGGTTTGGGTCAAAAGCAGAATTTTTATGGCGTGACAAGGAACTGGATATGTGGCTTGAGAGAGAAAAGGAAAAGCAAATGCATGTCTGTAGCCACAGAGCTGAATTTGAGATAGAAACCCTCATTCCCATTTGTGTAACAGTCAGCCCTTATATCTTTCACAACATTGAAATTGTTCAAAATTAAGCCCTTCAGCATAAAATCTCAAAAAAGAAGAAACACCAGACACTCAGTTCCTCCCTAGGTTTGCCTCTTGTTTGAGGAAGGTAGTGGAAAAGAGTGGAAGTGAAGTAAATCAGGATTTTACATTTTTACTCTGGCTTAGCTTCAAAATCACTCTGTCCTATATTTCTCTCTGCCCATTGTACTTTGGTCCATATGGGCAGGGTAAAGTAGGGTCAGGAACCATGCATGGAAGAAACAGTCACTGCAGGATTTGCATTTCTATCTGAAACTAGAATAAACATTGCTAGAGGGAAAAACGGAATTTATCCTTCTTGTTTGGAAGCAGCTCATAAGGATTTAGGTATTAGTATAGATGGATTGTCTTTTCTCATTCAGCTTAAGATTTCTTTAATTCTGGTATGCCAAGTGATTTTTGATTCAGATGTAGACATTTTTATATTATGCTATGGGACTCAAAATCTTATTGAATACTTTTTTTTTTTTTTAACTCGCTTTGTCTACCACATCTCCAGCATTGGAAGGAGGGGTACTGCCGGGTTACTGCCAGGTAGAGGTAAAAATCCAGGTTCTCCAGTCACCCTCTTTTGATACCTTGTGGTGGAAATGGGGGCAGGGGATGCTCCTCATTCCTCTTGGGGATGGTGGTATTTCTAGATCCCAGCATAGTCTGAACTGATACCACAGTGGATAGGAGTGGTCTTGTTCCCACTGGATATTGGTTTGATACCACCCCAATATTTATGGGGATGGAGGAGGAGAGACACCTCATTACTGCTGCGTAGGGGTGGAAGGCCAGGCTCCCATGTGCTCTCTGCTGACACTGTAAAGGATCATTCATTACCAGATGGTAGGCATGAAGGTCCCAACTCCCTACTTGGTCTTTCATGACATCTCTGACAGGGGAGTTGGTTACAGCTTCATGAGGGTAGACTTCTAGTCTCCCCACTCATCCTTTCCTGGCATTCATGGTGATCATTTCTTTTGTGGTGTTTGGCTGGAATAGAGCAGTTATTGACTAAAGGGTTTCCTTCTTCCTAGGCTGTCCCTTTCTTGCTGTTTTGGCTGGAGAGCAGCTTTTGTGGTGGCTTTTTTGGTCTATGTCTCATAGTGTCTCCAGGTTGCTGACTCCTTTCAGCTACAAGTCTGGTGTAAGTGAGACAAAAAGAAAACCCGGGATCTCACCTTCATGTTGTTTCTTGGGTCCTGAAGTCTCAGGGTGGTCTACTTCCTTTTCACTTTGCAGAGTCTTCTTATGCTTTGTTTATATATAACATTTGGGGTTTTTAAGTTCTATTTAAGAGGAGGAATAGGAAAATGTAAGTCTGACTCCATTTTTCTGCAGGCAAAAGTCCTTACCATTCAATTCTGCCTTTGTTTTGTTTTTTTTCAGCATTTTATTATGGAAGTTTTCAAGATGAAAGAATTATATGGTTAATCATCACGTATCTTGCTTCTCCCCAAATTCAACACTTAATGTTTTGCTGTATTTTTTTTAGTATGGTTTTTATTTACTTTATTGTATTTATCCATCTGCCCATTCCATCCGTCTGTCCATTAATTGTTTTTGATGGACATCAGTACACTTTACCCCTAAGCACATCAGCATGCATATCATTAATTGGAGTTCACTATATATTGTTTTTTAAAGGTGAATTTTATATGAAGTAAAATGCATGATATCAAAAATATCATTTGATGAGTTTTGTATGATCTATCCCTTATTGGGATAATTTCAGTCACCCCACAAAGTTCCCTTGAAGCCCCTTCTCAATTAACTTTAACTTCCATCACATTTCAAGAAGAACTACTGTTCTGATTTTCTTTCTTTTTTTTTGTTATTATCATAAATTCATTTTGACTCCTTTAGAACTTCATATAAGTAGAACCACATGGTATATATTTGTATTTTGTTGTTCTTGGCTTTTTTTTCAACACAGTGTTTTTGAGAGGCATTCATGTTGTTGTCTGTATCGGGGGGTTGTTATCATTATTATTGCTGAGTTATTTCGTTACATGAACAATACCACAGTTTATCCATTCTGGGCTGCTTCCAGTTTTTTGCCATTACCATTTAACAGTAGCAATAACATAAGTCATCGTTGTCTACCTTCTGTTTTGAACATAGTGCAAGGCAGCTTAAGGTTTTGGGCCTTTCTCTGATTAATAAGATGATTAAGGCCCTAAAGATATGTTCTATCACATACAATACCCACATTTTCCACGCATTTCTTATTGTTAGTGAAAATTATCGGTTTATTGGAAGCTGAAATTTTCTTTTAGAAGCAAAAGATGGTTTTAGCATTGTAAAAGTTAGAATTAGCTTCTTGGCACGAAATTTAATTTTGCGAAGGAGAAACCATGGTTTTAACTACACTGTAACTGTAATATTCATTACTGAGAATGCCATACTAGCCTCTGGAGGAACATCCTATTTCAGGAATACTTAGAATGCTCTAGTCCTTCACAAAATAGTGTCGTAGTTGCTGCAATGGATTCAGCTGGGTTTCATAGACCCCTGTTTGTCTGGCCTTACCTATTATGTAAGTCTCTTGCTTCTTTTCTATTTTCCCAAAATGATTATCTAAGGGGACTGTAATTTCTGATTGATTGATTGACTGATTAATATTAGGGGAGTTCTACCAGCTGGGAAGTGGGACAAAATAAACTTTACGTGAGATTCCAATTAAAATGGTCATGCTTGCTATTAAAGTGCAGGAAGAAATATGACGTTGTTTCAGACTTTTTATTACAGCTTTTCTCTGACTTTATTTTTCTTTATACAGTTGATGGACTGGACAAAGCTTCTCTAGCAAATTCAGATGGCCCAACAGCAGGCTCACAAACACCTCCCTTCAAGAGAAAGGGGAAACTCTCCACCATCGGTAAAATCTTTAAACCTTGGAAATGGAGGAAAAAGAAGACCAGTGACAAATTTAGAGAAACCTCAGCAGGTATGAGTATCATAACTTTACTAGAAGATAAGTTGTTACATTTTTTATAAGATAAAAATTGTGTCTTGTAGGGCTTTTTTTCCCTGAAAAAAAAGACCATATTTGAAATGAAATTAGACTTAACTTAGAGTCCTGATTTGCCTGCTTTCCCACTCATTGACTTTCTAATATACCCTTGTTTTTAAAAATATAGTTCATACAGAAAACTAGTATGGAGGGAGGGAAGTGAAAGAAGGTGTAATAGAAAATTAGAAGGGGAAATGTTATTTGTCAACATTGTAGCTGAAATAGCCATTCACATACACACACACACACACACAAACTATTATCTATCTACTTAGTTCCAGTAACACAATCCTATTTGTTAATTTAAGAAAAATTTTTGAATGTCTTTTTTTAATGTGTTTGTTTTATGGGAAAAATAAATGTAAATGGCTGTTTGAAAGAAAAGTGTTTCTGTATTTTATTGTTAAATTTAAAATTTCCATCATACCTTTAAGACAAATAAATGGTTTCTGTCCTAAGGGAGTCAGAACACTATTGGTGTGTAAATTTTTTTATTATTTTGTGGATTTGTTAAGCTTTAAGAATTACATTATTTCGTACCTTTCATGTGGACTCATGGAAAAAATTTGCTTTTTATCTCAGGCCAGAACTAAGCCCAAGTTAAACAAGTATTACCTTTAAGGTAGAAAAGCATTTATCTCTTGATATAAGTTCAACATTCTCTATGCTTATATTGTCTAATACAATTGCTTTATCAGAATTCCTCATTGCACCAAGGTTAATATTGTCGGTGTATGTAGAGGGTCACAGAGCATATTTTACTGGTCTGTGCTAACATAGGAGTTGGCCTTTAGTTCTAGAGCTGTGAAATAAAATAGAAAATGCCTCAAATAGCACATAGGTATGGAATAGGGACACCAAAGCTTCCTAACGAAATTGTCTGTGGTGCATTTGCTGCTGTATAACTTCTTTGAGCATGTAATATTTAATAAAGAAATAATGATACCATATCTGGGATTTGTTTCAAAATCCTGGAGGTGGGGTGAGTATAGATGAAAGAAGATTGGCCACAAGTTGGTGATTGCTTAAGCTTGGTCAGGGGTACTGGGGGGTTATTATTCTCTCCTCTCTGTGTGGACGTATTGGAAAATTTCTGTAATAAAAGATAGGGAAAATAAAAGAGACCTGGCTTAGGGGGAAATAAAAATAGATTGGTTATCACATTTTCTATAGTTTCTAATTGGTTTCTTGGATTAGAAGGCAATGGCAAGTGGACAGAGTGCTGTGCTGAGTGAGTAAGGACATCTGGGTTCTGGTAGTGTCTTTGCCATCGAGGTACCCCGTGACCTTGAGCAAGTCAGATCAGAGTCAAATGAGGTTATTCTAAGGTGCTTTCATTTCCAGATTCTGTTGTCAGTCCTTGACTCCTAATCCCTGGCTGGACATCTTGTTCTCCCATATTCTTCAGTTGTGAATGGAACCACAACTGGTCTTCTTACTGTCCTCCTCTCACATTTCCCTGAGTGTTGAGAGAATCTGGCCCTTTGGGTTACCATGGCTACCCAGGATGGGAGTAGGGCTCCAGACAGTGCCAATAAGAAGATACTGAGAAGGGAGGATGGAAGTCTCCTCTTTTGTTTAGCTTGCCCTTTACTTGAATCTTGGATGCTAACAACTCTCTCCCTAATGAAGAAAAGATAACCACAAAGAAATTCTCCTTCACTTTTCCTTGTCATCTCTTTTTAATTATTTTGACAGTAGGGAGGCTGTAGCCCTGAATATTTTAGAAAAGTCATTTTAAACAGCCTTAAGTGTTATTTTATGTTAGCCCATATTTGTTGAGGAAAGCCTAGCCATCTTTCTATTCTGTTTTCTTTTCAGAGTCACACAGGATTTTATATAAGGTTGGCTCCAAAGAGTTATTTGTGGGTTCTGTAGCCCTAGTTCCTAAAGACTACCAAACTACATTAATAACCTGAAAAGTTATTAGATGTCTGTTTTCTTTGCATCCAAATTATGACATCACAGAATAAAGACAAGCCAAGTAGAAACGTTAACAATTCTTTGTGAATTTATCTGCTGCATTTGTGTCATTTCTTTCTAAACCCATATTAATGTCGTACTTGAATTTCGTAAGATGTTATCAAGTGTCCCATTATAAAATATTTTGTTCTTACTTTATGTATATGCTTATTTTAAGGCTTAAATTTCTGCTGGGCTTTATGAAGTGTATCAGTGAAGCCTGAAATAAAGGGAGGCACAAAGCATATAACAAATGTTTTATTTACATTGAGGAAAGCTGTCATGTCTAGAGGAAAACTGATGCATTTGGAAATAACCAAGAGAAAGGTGTTCTTTTTTTTTTTTTTTTAAAGATTTTATTTATTTATTTGACAGAGAGAGATCACAAGTAAGCAGAGAGGCAGGCCGAGAGAGAGGGGGAAGCAGGCTTCCCGCTAAGCAGAGAGCCCGATGTGGAGCTCGATCCCAGGACCCTGAGATCATGACCTAAGCAGAAGGCAGAGGCTTAACCCACTGAGCCACCCAGGTGCCCCGAGAAAGGTGTTCTTTAATAAATTGCCTCAAACAGCGAACTCTCGTTGTTTGGATATGACCAAGGTCATGTGCTGTCTGGCACACTATAAAGTCCACCTTAGGCACGTCCCACAGTGTGTTGAGATCTGAAAGAAGGTGCATTTCTTCCAAGGCAAGTCCATGTTGTTTTTCCTTCTCCTAAATTCCTGGTGTTGTAGCCACATGGCTATGAATCTTCCTGCACTCCGCCACATAGTGATTAATACTGCTTTTCCTAGTCTGGGTTTCTGTTGAGGAAATTTTTTTTCTTTTGATTGGTGACAGAGAGGATGCAGCCCTGATTGATGATGCCATTGTAGTCATATGTTTCCCATGGCGGAGGCAGTTTAGAAGGGTCATGGTCAGTGGAGCACGTGACTCTTGATCTCTGGGTGTGAATTTGAGCTCCACATTCGGTATAAGGTTACTTAAAGATAAAAATCTTAAAAAAAAAAAAAAAAAGAGAGAGAGAGAGAGAGAGAGAAGTGTCCTGTCCTTGAGCCAACTATATATATTTTGGAAGTCCATCTTGTCCTATAAGAGAGACAGGGCCTGGGCCCCAACTTCAGTTTCTCTGGCCTTGTTTTAAAGCAAAAAGTTGCCTGTCTCTTCCACTCTGTGCAGGCTGGTCCACAGGCTGTTGGGTTCTAGGGCGGGAGAGCAGTCTTCTTCCCATTTATTTTCCCCCAGGGCATCTTTTCTTAACTCTTCATCTCCTGAGCCAGAGGGCCCTTTTCTGGTCCCATCTTTACTCTCAGTTACATCCCTTATGTGCATTTAGAACTCAAAATGTCATTTACACTTCTTTTCCTACATAATAATTCCTCCTATTTTTTTTTCTTTCTTTTTTTGTGGGGAGGGGTGCTGTGTGTGTTGTGGCTGAAGTTCCTCCCTCTGGATCTTTAAATTTGCTTCCGTCTCCCAAAAGCTAAGAATACCTTCAAATCCCGTCTGAACACAGTGGTTCTTCCAACTTCTGCAGAGTCTATTGCCGTCAAGACCAAACGTCTTGAAAATCCAGCCTGTGTCACTTTGTCCACATCCTCTTCACATGGTCATTCCTTTCCCTCTGCCATCTGCGCCTGTGTCCAGCACTCCACTGATGACACTCCAAGCCTCCCAATCAGGAAATTCAGTGTCACTCTCTCATTTTGAGCCCTCCCAACCTCTGCAGCATTTGCCATCACTGGTTAGTCTTTCCTTGATTGACAAAAGATGTCATTATCGGGGCGCCTGGGTGGCTCAGTCAGTTAAGTGGCTGCCTTTGGCTCAGGTCATGATCCCAGGGTCCTGGGATCAAGTTCCACATCAGGCTCCCTGCTTAGCAGAGAGCCTGCTTCTCCCTCTCCGTCTGCCTGTCACTCTGCCTACTTGTGCTCTCTATCTCTCTGTCAAATAAAGAAGTAAATAAATCTTTAAAAGATGTCATTATCTTGGTTGTCTTTGACTTTTCTTTCTGCTTTTTGCTTCCACTCTCCCCCTTCTCCTCTTCCCTAAACCTTCAAGGGAGTTTGCTATGTGTCTTAGCCCTTCCCTTTCTTTTACTGTGCTCTTCCTCATCATCCATCTCTTCTTAGTACCCACATTTCTCAGGCCAAGTCTCCCCCTAAGACCTAGGCCCATCCAGCAGAGCATTGATGGGTAGCAATGTCTAAGGAGTGCATGTTAACTCAAAAATCGATTCCTAAGGTCTGTCTATATCTGCACTGAAAACCATTGATTTATTAGCTCTTGTTCTGTTGTTACATGAGTCACTTGTATTTTTACAAAGAAATAAGACCGATCAATAATTGGGAATTTCGAACCTCGTTTCTTCCTCTGTAGAAGCAAATAACTCATTGAGATTACTAGATACCCAAATATATGTCATGAATCAGTAACAGACCACAGCACTCCATTCATATTAGTTTTTTCCAATTTCTGTTTTTCCATTTGTTCAATTCTGAGCTCAGTAGAAAATGGAATCAGAGACTTCCATAAGTGAATATAAGTATTCCTGAAAGTGTTGTTCTGGGGTATTCTGGAGTATTCTGGAGGGAGGGAGTGAGCAAGGTTCCTGCGCTCCTGGAGCTTTCATTCTAGAGAGGCAGATGCGACGAATGAGCACAGAGTGAGGGAAGGGGGGAGTGGAAAAGTACTATGTACAAAATGCATTCCAAAGCAAAACAGATCCCTTGCCAATCCCAGGTACCCATGCTATTGCAGACATGACTTTCTTTGGCATCTAGACTTTGAACCATGGAGTTCTTTGACTCTTCCTTGCCTCTTACTGTCTTCTATATTCCATTAGTTACCAAAACCTTTCATGTGTTTTCTCCCGGTGCAGGGCCTCCAACATTAGCCATTCCTCTCAGTCCCTATTATCTGGTTCTTACCAGTCTATTATTGCAGGTAGCCTCTTGGTTATATTTAGGTATGAG